GCCAAGGCGGGTCTTGAACCCGCGGGCTCAGGCAGTCCACTCACCTCAGCCTCCCAAAGGCGCGGGATTACAGGCTGAGCCACCGAGCCTGTCTTTTTTTTTTTTTTGCACTTATATTATCCAAACAGAAGAATATTGTGTAGCAAATACCACAGGAGACTGACTGAAACAACAAACTGCCCAGCACATATTTCTTGTCTTTTTCCCAACTTCATCAAAACTCTAATAAAATAAGTTGCCATCAACTCAGAGCAGCAATGGACTAATTGATCCACCAGCAAACAGCTTCTTCCATCAGTCACAGAAATCAGCTCATAGCTCCGTGATTCAAAATTATTGCCAGGCTCATAACCTGAAACTTATTCCAAGAAACAAAATACACTTTGTGTCAAAGGGTTTCTCACAGTTGTTCATTCCTTTCCTCTTGAAACACTTTATTCACTGGGCATCTCAAATACCACATTGTCCTGATATTCCTCATGACTTACTGGCCGATTCCTTCTCAGGCTCTCTTGCTAGTTCCTTTGCATCTCTTTGCCCTCTAAACACTGCCCCTAAACGCAGGCCTCTTCTCTGCTTACACTTATACATTAGATTTCATCTAGTCTTCAGTCTTTAAACACCACCTAAATGCTAGGTGGACCTCTCCCCTGAACTCTAGATTTATATATTCAACTGACCATTTCACATAGCCACTTAGATGTACAATAGGCATCTCAAACCAACACCTAATCACCGCCACCTAATCACCTTCCCCTTAAAACAAGTGTGTGCATATATGTGTGTATGTGTGTGTACATATAAAATCATACATAATGTCATATTTAACTACTGTTCATATTAAATATATTGTATATAATTAATTATACAATATATAGGTATATATATTGTGTATGTATACATATATATACACAAATCATATATATATAGACATATTATATATATGATATATATATATATATATATCAATCCAGTTGTTCAGAACAAACACTTTTATCCTTGACTCCTCTTTTTTACCCTCCTATCCAGCAATTTTGCTTGGACTACTGTAAGAGACTCTTAACTGGTTTCTCTTCTTTCATGCTTGGCTCCCATACCATCTATTCTCCACATAGCCGCAAGCTTGAACCTGTGAGTGAACATACCCATCAAGTCACTTTAGCTCAAAAAGAGCTACAAATGGCTTCCCATGTTCATCAGAGTACAAGCTGAAATCCTTATAATGCCTACAGGGCCCTCTTCTCCTACATTGCTCCTTTGCTCACTCTACAGCTATACTGGCCCCCTTGCTGTTCCAAAAACAAGCTAAGTATGTACCTACCTTAGGGCCTTCTATACTTGTTCTCTCTGCCCCAAATACTGTCCCCCTGGATAATTACCTGGCTTGCTCCTTTACCAATATCATGCGGTAAGGATTATCATAATTTTTACAAAAAAGGAAACTGAAGCCTAGAGAAGTTACTTACCGCAAGTGGGAGGGAAAGAAGAACATTATGCTAGGGTTATGGGACTGTGTATAATTATTTATAATTACATTTATAAATATACATATATACATACATACACACATTACCCACACACATAAACATAATAAATATGACATTTATGAATAATATTTAAAGAAATAGAAGAAAAGCAAAATAAAGGCTTCTTATTAGGCATACCTTTGCAAAGTTGATCGAAAGCCCAGGAATTTCTCCTAATCCTCCGTTCATCATAGATTTCTGACCTAGGATAACTCCAAAGGTAGGCAAACAGGAGAAATCAGAACTTCCTTCATAAATAAATTTCAAATCGTTTGGATCCTTGATTGATGCTCCCACTCCAAGGGCATACATAACAGCTTCCAGTTCAGTATAAGCAGAAGAAAATGGAGGGAGCTTATAGCCAATAGCTCCAGCCTACAGGATGGTGGTAAAAATGATTTTTACATTTTTTTTTTGTCAAATCCTTTAAATTTTAACTTTTCAAAACTATTAACTACTCATATCCCTAGCTTTGCTTTTGAAAAGATGTGAATAGAATGTCAGTTAGCATATGTTGGTAGAGCATACTTATTTCATTATATTTGATTTTTTAAAATAGAAACCAATTAGATAATGTGTGGAAGAGGACTTCATTTACAAAAAAGTACTTTTTATTGTTTGCCTTTCGCTAACAGATAGCATGCCTCATTTTCAACTTTCTTGTCTCAAATTTAGCAATTATTAGTTATCCAAAAAATAATAAATTTGTTATAGCTAGGGAGGGATAGTAAATTTCACTATAAGAGCCAATGGATAAAATTCATTACAAGCAGATGAGCAAAACACTGCTTAATATTTGTAAACCTGATTGTCTCATAATAGTTTTAATTAAAATGAGACTTACCCGAAGTTCCTTCCTAGGACTGCCCTTTGTCTACTTAGATATTGTATTTTTCTGCTTAATGATGATATGCCTAACTAATATGGGAGGTGTATATTAGGTTATACATGAACAATGTCCATTTTTCCCATCACTTTTATCCTAAAGCAGGAGTTGGCAACCAAGGGTTAAGAGCTAAGAATGGTCTTTATATGATGGTTAAAAATAAGAAAAACAAGAATAAAAAATAAAATAAGTAAGAAAAACAAGAATACAAACGGAAGGAGTATGTGGCCCAAAAAGCCTAAAATATTTACTCATGGCCCTTCACCAAAAGAGTCTGTCAATCCCTATTCTAAAGTAAAATCAAATGGTATATACAGACCATATTCTAAGGCTTAAAATTAGATTCCTAATTTTCTTTATCACTATGTTACAATATATCAGAATCTAATGTGGCAAATGAATTACTTTTAACTATTTATCCAGTACATTTTTTTTAAAAGGACACATATAAGAGATAGTAAATTGGCAAATTTTACATGAATTATAATCACAATTCTATTCAAATTTCTGACAGTGGGAAGTCCTTTACTTGCAGCCATGTTGAAGTATTTGCAAAATGCAATATCAATGCTTTCCCTTAAAAGAAATGACACAGAAGAGCTGCTAATATAGGGACCTTTTCTAAAAAGTTAGAAAAATGGCAATTTAAGTAAGGTTGTTTAACTGTTCTGAAGAAGAGAAAGTAAAAATTTAATATTTTGACTTAAATTCATTTAAATTCTATCAACATTTAGTACAGATGTTATTAAAAGTTGTATCACTTATTTAACAATAAATAGCTTAGCAAATAATTTTTCTTAATTTTAAAGATGTGGGGTACAATTCAGGGTTAGGTATACAAATGTTCGTTATGCAGGGTACCTTTGTTGATGAGGTTTGCCCCCAACCCTGGGTAGTTTCCCTCAACTACCAATCCTACCACCCTCCCCTGGCAGTTTCCCACTACTGCCAGTCCCTTTCTTATAGTATTATGGTAATTCTTCAAGGTCTGCTTATGAGTGAGAATGAATGGTACTTTTTGTTTCTGTGACAGATCACTATGATAGACTCTAAATCCATCCAAGTTGCTGCAAAGTCCATATGTTTGTCCTTCTTTATGGCTGCATAATATTCCATTGTGTATATGTACCGCTTTTTTTTTTTTTTATCCAATCCAGTTTCGATGGCAGCACAGTTGGTTCCATGTTTTTGCTATTGTGAATAGTACTGCGATGAACATGCATGTGCAGGTATCTTTTTTGTAGAATGATTTGAGTCCCTCCGGGTATATTCCCAATAGGGGAATTGCTGGGTCATATGGAAGGTCAATCTCCAGTTCTTTCAGAAATCGCCACACTGTTTTCCAAGAGGCTGCACTAGTTTGCATTCCCACCAGCAGTGTAGAAGCATTACTTTTTCTCTGCATTCCACCAGCATCTGCTGTTTTTTGTTTTATTAATGATTGCCATTCATACTGGGGTTAGTTGGTATCATAATGTGGTTTTGATTTGCATTTCTCTGATGATTAGTGAGGCTGGGCACCTTTTCATGTGTTTGTTGGCTACCTGAATCTCTTCTTTTGAGAAGTGTCTATTCACGTCTTTTGCCCACTTTTTAAAGACACTGTTTGTTTTTTCCCTTTTGGTATGTTTCAGTTCCTTGTAGATACTGGATGTTAGGCGTTTGTCTGATATATGTTGGCAAATATTTTTTCCCATTTTGTGGGCTGTCTCCCTGCTCTCTTGATGGTTTCTTTTGCTTTGCAGAAGCTTTTCAGTTTGATGAGGTCCCACTTGTCTATCTCTTATGGCATGAGCATTTGGGGTTTTGACCAGGAATTTGTTGCCAGTTCCAATTTCCATAAGAGTGTCCTCTGCATTTCCTAAGGTTCTCATAGTTTGAGGTTTTACGTTTAGGTCTGATCCATTTAGAGTTGACTTTTGTGTGTGGTGATAGGTAAGGGTCCTGTTTCAATTTTCTGCACATGGTCAGTCAGTTTTCCCAGCATCATTTACTGATTAGGTACTCCTTTCCCCAATGGTTGTTTGTTTTTTTGTTTTTGGGGGTTTTTTTGATTTGGAGTCTCACTCTGTCACCCAGACTGGAGTGCAGTGGCTGCTCCCAGCCACCGCAGCCTCGCCTGCTGGGCTCCGGCGATCCTTCCGCCTCAGCCTTCCAAGTAGCCGGAATTACAGGCATGCGCTACCACGCCCGGCTGATTTTTTGATTTATTGTAGAGATGAGGTCTCGCTGCCCAGGCTCAGGCAATCCACTCACCTCAGCCTCCCAAAGGCGCGGGATTACAGGCTAAGCCACAGAGCCCAGCTCCCAATGGTTGTTGTTGGAAACTTTGTCAAAGATGGGTTGGTTGAGAAATTGAGGTTTTGCTTCTGGAATCTCTATCCTGTTCCATTGGTCTATATGACTATTCTTGTACCAATTCCAGGCCATTTTGATTATTGTAGCCTTATAATAAAGTTTGAAGTCTGAAAGTGGGAAACCTCCTGCTTTATTTCTTTTGCTAAGGATTGTTTTGGCTATTCATGATTGTTTATATTTCCATATGAATTTCTATATTGTTTTTTCCAGGTCTGAAAAGAATGATGCTGGTAATTTAAAGGGTATTGCATTGAATTGTAGATTGCCTTTGGTAAGATGGACATCTTAACAATGTGGATTCTTCCTATCCATGAGCATGGAATATTTTTCCATTTGTTTGTGTCTTCTTGGATTTCTCTGTGCAGTGTTTTGTAGTTTTTATTGTAAAGGTCTTTCACTTCTCTCATTTTTTCTGTGGCTATCGTGAATGGAGTTATGCTTTTTATTTGCTTCTCTGCCTGCTTGCTGTTGGTGTATAAGAATGTGACTGTCTTTGCACATTTATTTTATACCCTTAGGCTTTGACAAAGTAGAAAATAATTTTTTACAAAAGATTCACATTTCAAAGAAAATTTTGCTGATTATAGACATTTTCATTACAGAGGCATAAAACCTTGTGTGTGGTAGGTGAAGATGTAAAAATCACAACAAAGAACCTGTAACATATAACCTCCAGAAGTCACGCTGTGCTCTGGTCCCCAACCCACATACATATTTCCACACAACTCAAATTGACTTAAAGTCAATTTAAAGTAAGTCTTGAATATCTCCAGTTAACAAACCTGCACATGTACCCCCTGAATCTAAAATAAATAAGTAAAGTGCAAAAAAGACAGCAACAAAGAGCTGTTAATGGACAGAATGAAAGTTGGGTGCATTCTTAGAATGTTCACTCTATTTGTATGTATTCTCAAGCCACTTGTGGTTATTTTGCATCTTTTTAAACATTAAATAAGCAATATCATACTTTATGTGTTCTTTTGAAACTTTTTCAAAGCACCATATTCTGTTTTTGAACAGTATCTTTAATTTACTCATTGTTTTTCTTTTTTTTTACTGCTACAGAATTCCACGCTACCATCAAACCACAACTTGTTTAGTCATTTATCCTATTGATTAACTTTTTGGCTTTTTTTTCCTTCTATTACAGACAATTCTGCAATAAACACTATGTGTATGCCTCTGTTTGCTCCTGTTGAGGTTTTTAGGGTCTGTACCCTGGAGCTGAATTTCTGGGTTGTAGGATATGTGTATCTTCAAATACACTAGAGAAAGCTGTTTTACCAGTGTACATCCCCACAGCAGTGTTTAAGAGTTTCATTTACTTCAAATCTCCAATAATGCTTGGTGCTATCAGACTTAAAATGGGTACAAAGATGACATTATTTATTATTTCAATTTATATTCTTGGTTATTAGAAGAGATGAATATCCAATCATAAAGTTATTGAACATCTATGTATTAATTTCTGGTTTCTATTTTCTGTCCATTATTCTACTATGCGGTTCTTTTCTTGTTGAGTGAGATATATGTATATGTATATATATACATATATATATGAATATGTTTTTATACACATATTCATTGTATTTTGTTCATTTTATATATCACAAATCTCTTCTCCCGGCCTGCAGCTTATTTTTTCACCTTGTTTATTACAACTTTGATTAATACAAGTTTTCAATTTTAAGGTAGTCAAATTCATCAATATTTTCTTCCTGTTTCTTTTAGTATTGTGTTTTAAGAGATGTTTACTGTTTTCCCTGCCCTCATGAGGTTATAAAATATTCTCTTAAATGTTCTCTAAGGGTGTTAAGATTTTTATTTAACAATTAAATATTTAACAAAATTGAAATTTAATTCTTAAAAAAAAAAGAAAACTGTATGTGGAAGGTAAAAAGTCAGGCAGGCATAGATATCAATACTAGATATTTCAGGTTAGCCTCAAGTACTTTTTATCAGTTGAGGTAACCCCTTTTATCCTGTTCTATCTAGTAACTCTCTGAGTTAATTTCCAAACAGCAATGGGGGGAGGGGCAGGAGAGATAGCTAAAGCACCAGTCAGCAACTAACTTGATTTATCACACCTCAAAAGGAGACTACTAAAAATTATATACAAGTAAAGTATATCCCTCTGGAAAGTTGATGATAAGTTTTCAGTACCTCTGTTTCCAACCAAGGGAAGAAGCTGAGAAGCTAAGTGGGCGACCTTCCACTCTGCTAGCTCCACTCAGACACTAGGAAAAACCTTGAAAACTGACACCTAATTGACCTGAGCTCCATCAAGGTAAAGAAAAGCATGGCACATTCCAGAGAAATCTGAAAGGGAGAAGTTAAAAAGAAGAACAAAGTACTCTGGGCAGCTTCAGAATTCATCACGGACCACCTTCTCATGGGGTTCAATGTCACGAACTCCCTGTATGTCAGAATCAGCCTTGTTGTAAAGTAAATCATAAATTCATGATTTCTGAACAAATCCTCTATTTTAAATTATCTCTGTCACTGCTTCTCTTCATGATTAGAGACTGAAAGTAACTATATCCAAAAAAAAAAGAAGGGAGGAAGCAAAAAGGAGGGAAGGAGGGAGAGAAAAGTCTCCAGAGAAAGCAAAAGCTTCAGGCATTTCCCACTTACAAATCCTGATGTTGCTGTAGTTGCTGCATGACTGGTATGATTTGTTGAAATTCCTCCTTCTGAATCTATTTTACTTAGAACTTCAATTATACCGCCAGTGGATTCTAAAATTAAAAATAAATAAAGTTTTGTTAAAGATGTGACTAAGAAAACCTATACTATTACTCCTATAACCTTCAGCAAACTTGCTCCAGAACCTCCATTGTCACTCATGAACTGAATGCATGTCAGGCTATTATAGGAAAAAACTATAAAAGACTTTGAAACAGAACAAAGATAAATGAACGTCTTTAATGAAAAACAAGGCAATGTCAGCTCTATTCACAATAGCAAAAACAAGGAACCAACCATGTTGCCCATAGATGCTGGAATGGATTAAAAACTGTGGTACATATACACAATGAATATTATGCAGCCAAAAAGAAGGACAAACATATGGACTTTGCAGCAACTTGGACGAGTGTAGAGTCAATCATACTAGGTGATGTATCACAGAAACAAAGAACAGAGTACCACATGTTCTCAGTCATAAGCGGACCTTGAACAACTGTAAGAAAGGGATTGGCAGTAGTGGGAAACTGTTAGGGGACGGGGTTGGGATTGGCAGTTGAGGGAAACTGCTAGGGGAGGGAGGGGAATACCTCATTAACAAGGGTACTGCATAATCAACGTTTGTATACCTAACCCTTTACACCCCACATCTTTATAATAATAATGAAAAAAGAAAAGAAAAACAAGGCAATGTCTAACATATCCTTCCCTGATTATCTGATTCTGGGGGGTTTGAGCTTTTCAATGTCTTTGACCTATTTCATAACACTGTAAAGTGGCATACTTGCATGCAATTTCTGTCTGGTGGAGAGACAACTGATTTCCCTTCCTTCCTCAGTATTACTCTCCCCCAGGATGAAAGAATGTCAACATTACCTCCCGACATTCACCCAATTCCCGCCCTTGTCACTCCCCAACATGTACAAGTAATAACTCTGAAGACAGTACCAAACATTCTTCCAGACAAAATCATTATCATAACCTGTGACTCCAGATAAGAATCAAAAGCTGCTATTCTGGTCTATAAAAGGTTAATAAAGGAAGCTCAGGGGGCATCCATATGCTGTTGATGGGAGTGTAAACAAGTACAATCTCTGTGGAAAACAGTTTGGCAACTCCTAAAAGGTCTAAAAATTGACCTTCCATATGACCCCACAGAGGAACTCAAATCACTCTATGAAAAAGACACCTGTACATGCAGGTTTATTGCAGCATTATTCACAATAGCAAAAACATGGAACCAACCATGCTGCTCACTGAAAGAGGACTGGATAAAAAAATGTGGTACATATACAAGATGGCATATTACGCAGCCATACAGAAGAACAAAATTATTAACTTCGCAGCAACTTGGATAGACTTAGAGTCTATAATACTGAGTGATCTATCACAGAAACAAAGAACTGAGTATCACATGTTCTCATTCATAAGCAGACCTTGAACAATTATCATAATACTGTAAGAAAAGGATTGGCAGTAGTGGGAATCTGCTGGGGTGGGGAGGGGCAGGATTGGCAGTAGTGGGAATCTGCCAGGAGAGTGGGGACACACCTCATCAACAAGGGTACCTGCATAATGAACATTTGTATACCTAACCCTGAATTGTACCCCACATCTTTAAAATTTAATTTTTTTTTAATTCAAAAAAGAGAAGAAACCACACATTCCTGAAACAAAAACCATGGAGAACAGTTACAACTCGATGCTCAAGTAGTGGAAGTTTAGCTAACAGAAAGATCAGTGTAATCCAGAATATTTGGGGAGGTTTTGTTGAACATCTGGGTTTTAAGTTTTTCTAAAGAAACACTAAGATTAGCAGAGGTGATAAAAGGAGGAAGGGGTGTGCTAGAAAGTCAGAAAACCAGTAGCAAAGACAAAGGGCTAATATAAAACCACATGTATGCACTGGACAGAAAAGAGCTAAGCCTAAATAAAATAAAATAGGCTTAAATAATCTTTTTGGGAAATAGAGAAAAATCAGGTCAGATGAGGAACATATGGCTAGTTACCAGAACATCTTGAAATCAAGCACCAGCGAGGAAGTAGGTACATTTAGCACAAATGAGTAAACATCTTATGCCGTCCATCCCCCAGCCACACATGAATCAAAAAACAGGATTTAAAAAACTGAAACACTGACAGTGAGACTAATATAAATATCTTAAATGTGAAGAAGTCTAATACTACTAGAACAGAAAATATGCTACAGACGATACAAGTGTCTAAGTACCACAGTTAAGATAGAAGAAAATTCCCTAGGAGAAAAAAATGCTTGTTGCCTCTGGTTCTCCAGCCAGGGCTAAGTGACTTGGAACTCTCTTTACCTTGGATACTCTGAGGTTTGCTGGCATTCTCAAAGTCACAGATCTTCTTCCAGTTAACCTTCACTGCCTCAGGAGTCATTGGTTGATTCTTCTGTCTTACAATGGCTCCAAGGGTCCGCTCCCAGCGTACTGGTTATAGAAACAAAACTAAGATATTGAGCACAAAGTTTAAGAGGAAGATAGAAAGTAAAATGCATAAGAGCCCTTTAATAATTTTTTAACTTCAAGAGAAAGGAAATTCAGGAAAAAGAATTCTAACTTCTAAAGGATTTACTATAAGCTTAAAATGAGTTTTTCCTAGCAAGCTTATTAGGATAAGGCCTGTTTTAAACATATAAATATTTGAAGTTGAAGGGAAAATTTCTCCTCTGACTATGCCAGGCAATACTAAAGACAGACTGTTATGCTGTATCTGAAAAAGTTAAATTATATGATAATCATACCAAAAGACCGACCTCATGACCACAAAGTAATATACTTTGCTTTCCTTTTTTATAAAATGAAGAAAACTCAATAGAGTTTTATTAAATAGCAAACTGAGGACAAATGCTGATAACAGGTCAGACTTTAGTTCACAAAAAATTAGTATAAGAGGTAGCCCCCCAAAATTATTCCTTACCTTCCCTTTGCTTTACTACCATTGTCACAAGAAGTCAATTAGAATGCAGAATTTATAAAAATCATTACTGCTGTATAAGTTCCATGAGAATAATTTTTAACTCCATGGGTTTTTTTGTTGTTTTTTAACTAGAGGATAAACAACCACTAGTAACTTTATTTTTTAAATGATAGCCTGACTTTGGTGATTGTTAAATTGAAAATTTGTCTTAGGGAATGACAGAAATGCCTGTTTCTAGAGATTTCCTACTGATAAAATGCCAGATATAGCTTTTATTGCAACACTTGATCTTCCTTTTGTAAATGGATATAATAAGACACTCAAAAATACTCGAGGAATATAAGTCACTTTAACAACTGGAAAGAATGGTCATTAATGCTAAAAATATTGTACTCTATAATATGTTGCAACAATACCCTCCAGTGATCACAACCTTTGAAGTAATTTAATTAATTGTGATTAATTTTGATACTAGCAGTCACCTGAAAACAAGTTGAGATATAGGAATTTTCACAATGTTTTTAAAATGCCATTAAGCAATTATCAAGTTTGGAACTTACAAGGTTTGAGAGATGGGATAAGAAAGGGTTGAGGCCAAATGAATTTACTGTTAGGCTGAAGGAGAATAATTCCCATAGATGAGTTGAACTTTCTGCCCCCAAAAGTTTGTCCAATGTTATTCTACACTCTCCTCCTGATGCCTCATGCTCCAAAGAAGAGAAGAATGACATGGGAGAATTGGAGAATATGTCTGCTGTGTCATCTAGAACAGGCTCATCTCATCTTTTCCAAAACAGCTCTCCCTCCTACTTACTTCTCTGCTGAAACAGCAAGAGCAAGCAGGTGGGATGCCAGAGACATGGGAGGAAAAATATTGGCATAAAGAGAGACTATGCTGACTGAAGGACTAGCCAGTTTTGAATAAGACAGGACAAGTGCTGAATGAGGACTGCCTACAGGAAGAACAGACAGGTTCTTGAAACTGTCACAGGCCTACAGGATAATTGTTGTGTTTTAGAATTCCTGTTGCTATAGCAATGTTAAGTTTGAATATGCACGCATTAGACCCAACAATTAGGCATTTGACAAGAACCTAACTGGATATGCAGATTTAGATATATAGAAATAAGTTATGGCAAACCAAAAATTGCAGAAGACTTACATTTTCCAATCCAGCCTGCTCCAACCTACCAAAAAGAAGGGAAAAGCATTAAACCATCTAAGTAAAATCACTAATAAAAGTTTTTATTTAAAAAAAAAAAAGGCAGCTTTCTTACGAGGAGTATTAGAAGACCATAGATAAAAATAATACAACTCTACAGAAGTCCATTGGCTCCCATGTCTTTGCACTGCTCATGTTATCAGAACAGAAACATAAAGCAGCCCACTGTAGTAGAAATGCATGTAGTAGAAAAGAATGACTCTGACATCAGAGACCAAAATTTGACACAAGTTCTTATACTGCCTAGCTGTGTGACCATGGCCAAATCATTTGACCTCCCTAAAACCAAGTTTCCTCATATGCAAAATAAAGATAATAACACATACTTCAAGTAGTTACTCTGAAGTTTAAGCAATATAAATAGTACACTGTCTAGCACATCAGAAGATCAAAATAAATGTCCCCCTAGAAAGGTCTATTGAATTTTTTAAAAAGTCAAATAAAGAATATTAGACTTAATAAACTACATATATTCCTTTTAATGAAACATCTTTATACAGAGATAAGGTAAATGACCAAATACTAACTGCTACCCAGATAGATAAATTTTCCATTTCTATAATTTTTTCCTAGAGGTCACTCAGGAAAATCCTCAGAAGAAAATGTCTGATGTAAAGAAAACCTCCTTTGTCATGTCTTCAAACACCACAACTACAGTATGCTGGAACTTAAGACAAGAATTCCACATGCATATGTAGAAATGTATCAGCAGACAGCAGATATCTTAGTGGCTCTAGGGTAAAAGGTGTGACTTTTCATCACCCTTTGCCTCTATATTAATATGGCTACACCAAGTCTGACTCAGTGGTTCAGCCCGTAATCCCGCGCCTTGGGAGGCTGAGGTGAGTGAATTGCCTGAGCCCGCGAGTTCGAGACCCGCCTGGGCAACTTGGTGAGACCTCATCTCTACAGTAAATAAAAAAAATTAGCCGGGCGTGGTAGCACGCACCTGTAGTTCCAGCTACTTGGAAGGCTGAGGCGGAAGGATCGCCGGAGCCCAGCAGGTTGAGGCTGCGGTGGCCGGGAGCGGCCACTGCACTCCAGTCTGGGTGACAGAGTGAGACTCCAACTCAAAAAATAAAATTAAATAAATAAAAAATAAATAAATAAAAGGGTCTAAAAGGATTTTTACCCAAGAGTGAACAATGGATCTTACTGGATGGTTGGATTAAGTGTGGATTAGTATTTTTATAATAAAAATTTAAAGCTTTGCCATAAGGAAAAATAGAAATGTTTACCTTTTTAAGTTAAAATAAATAAGTTGTGCTTAATGATCTACCATACCGGACTAAAGTCCTGCTATATTAGTAGTTAAAATGGGGGTTACTGCTATGTACTAGGCCTTATGATAAGGGTCTAAAAAATGATGTGTAGTTGTTACAACAAACCCCCAAAAGACCAAAGCTCAGAAAGGTCAATTTATACAATATCCCAGCAAACTAGTAATCACCAGAATAAGAATTAAGAATCTGGCTTGGATGATATTAAATTCCAAGCTCTATCTTTCCACTTTATCATTCAGTTTCTTAAATCAATGAAATTTTATACACTTGACTAAACACATCTAACCAGACATACTTTCATTTAGTAAGAATATTAGAAAAGCAGAATTTACAGAGTTTCTGTTACCTTCTCAAAAGGGCATTAGTTAACACTTGCCTTTTAATTATAACCTAGATACAATATTTACAAATATGTAAGTAGGCTGGGCACAGTGGCTCACACCTATAATCCTAGCACTTTGGGATTCGTGCTACCGCATTCCAGCCTGGGCAACAGAATGAGACCTCGACTCAAAATAAATAAATAAAAATATACAAGTGATGTCTGCTGGTGCAGATTTTTACAAATGTATGTAATGAGAAAATACTAATAGAAAAAAAAAGCTAGAAAGGTGCAGAATACCTCAAATAAGCTACCATTTTCCTTACAAGTCTCGTGGCAAAGCCAAAGGACCAGGGGTGCCACATATTCTGGCTTCAGGGCTTCCACAAGATCTGAAATAAAATTTTTTAAAGTTTATTTTAAAAGAATATATATATATATTTAATCAATCATTTTACTTTCTAAAATGTTCTTATAAAATTATAGGTAATTCAGTAACTTTAAAAATAAGCACAAAATTATATGTTACACATAAGTAGTCTAATATCTAAGGTTTTTGGAAGAACTTTTTCATCACAACAGAGACACTTCTAAGGCACTCTCAAGCTTCTACAATTATAGACCTCTGACACACCTTTTCAAGATGGGCAACATACTATTCAGGAAGAGTTAGAGCTGCTTAGGCAAAGACTACTGAGCAAAACTATATTTAAACATGAAAAACTTGGATACCATTCATTCTCAAAACTATTTTACTTTCTCAGCTATTTAACAAGAATCTAGAAAACTACAAAACAGCCATGACAACTGTAATGGTAGATAATGATTGAGAGCACTTAATCCTAATTAGTAGACTACCAGAGTAGGTAAATAATGATTGAAATAGACCTTGCAACCATCACTGGTGGTAATAAAGTATAAGAATTATTTTCTCACTGCAAACTTTTTTGACTTTAAAAATTGATATAAGCCGGGCTCGGTGGCTCAGCCTGTAATCCCGCGCCTTTGGGAGGCTGAGGTGAGTGGATTGCCTGAGCCTGCGGGTTAGAGACCCGCCTGGGCAGGTGAGATCTCATCTCTACAATAAATCAAAAAATCACCAGGCGTGGTAGCGCATGCCTGTAATTCTGGCTACTTGGAAGGCTGAGGCGGAAGGATCAC